TAAACATTTTTTCAGGACATTAAAAATGTATTTAAAACACGCGAACAAGCGTTCAAAAACGACTACAATACAGTAGAGTGATGTCAATGCGTATTGTTCTCTATTTTCTTTATATAAGATAGGGTTGACTTACTTAGCCAATAATAGGCTATGAAATTACAAATTAAGATTGAGATAGCTTTCTCCGGGGTTTACGATATCATCTTGGACGTAAAGCAAAAACAATTAAGTATTGATTTCCTTGTATACAAAATTATGCCACTTGCGCATAACGTTTCGTTGCATGTGCTTAATTACTTATGAACGTCTATTTCCGAGTGTTTGCTCGATTTAGTGCAAAGGGAAATGCCGTTTTAAGTATTAGTCCTTACTAAAATGAATTCGACGAAGACAATTCGTGTGTTTCGAAAACCAAAGGGCGTAGAAGATGAGAAAGAGCTACTGGATAGCACTTAATTATCCCTAAATCGACTCTACGAAAATATATCATGAATGGCAAATGGGGCCAGACAAAATCACAGTGACAAAAATCACAAAATCAAGGCTGCTCGTTTGCATTTGATTGCAATAAAGTGCAAAATTTATACACGAGCATTACACAGATGAATGGAGAGACACCGAATTTCTGGTTAGCAATGTTTTACTGCAGGAAGTATCAAATATATGTGAAGCAAATGGTGAACGATACCCTGCCAGAACCGGCATGTGGCTTGTGGTTGCTATTGCCTGCGGTTTACACTGACATTTGCAAGAAGAATGTGCGGAAGTATACCAGTGTCAATTCTCGATAAGAATGAGACGATGTAAACATCGGCTTATTCGTTCGTGTTATGTATTGAGTTTTATTTCAACTTTGTAGCTAGTTGAGAACTTCTCTGCATCCATGTAGTATATATTATTGCATTAAATGATTATTTACATTACGCCAAGGCAAGATCTAGAAATGGTTAAGAGGCAATTATTTTCAATGTCACGTATTTGCAATGAAAAGTGTTCAAAATCTAATATATTTTTGGCATTCCTCTCAAAATTACTTTGTTTTAGCTTTATTCTCTAGTTTATAGAGTTAGCTACTTTTTAAATGCATCTGCCGGTTGAGCAACATAAAATGATAGTTAAAAATTGTCAGTTAAAATACAATTATCAAGTGATGCTTTAAAATTGACGCCATATTTACAGCCATGATATAAGCAAAACTTACTGAACTTCAGACATCATTTTCTCTATGGCGTATCATCTAAAATCTCTTCATTTTAGCATTATTTTACAGATAAAGCACTAAACATAGTACTTTTTAAGTTTGTTTGCCGATTGAGAAACGTATCGAAAAATAAAAAGTTTGAATTTAGTCATAACCTCAAATGGTATATTATACGCATTAAGCCATTAGTTTTGAGCGCGTGTTACGTAACATACAAAAAAATCTCCTCTTAAATAGATTGACGATTTCAGCATTGAATTATATAGATTGAATATGTTTCGTCGCGTTCTTGATGCCCGAGATGAAGGTGGCTTTCAAAGCTGGAGTAGCAAAGAGTTTCAAACCGACGCGCTTCTCATGTGCCAAACGCATTAAAAACAATAGATAATCAGCTGAAATGCCTCATTGTTCGGCACATGAGAAGCGCGACGTTTGAAACAGGCCCAAGGGCCTGTTCATATGAGCCCGGGCTGGTTTTCGAGTGCCGAGATCCCGCCTCACATATTGTTTTTATATTAATTTAAGATTCGGTTTATATGAGAAGCGGGCCAGCCCGATTTGCCGGGATCTCGCTTGAGCGAGGCGAGATCCCGGCTTGCCGGGCTCATATGAATGCAAAACCGGGCTAGCCCGGCAAGCCGGGCTGGAAATTTGCGTGCTTTATTTCGCTTATAAACAGTCTAAAAAGTTCAAAACTATAGGAATTTATCAAAATTAAACCTCCTGAAGCTGTTGCCGTCGACAAAAATACAAATTTACTGAATAAACACGAATTTTACTTTCCCGCTAAAATATCGCGGGAAATCGTTACTATGAATAGATATGATTGCCGGGCTAGCCCGCCTAATGTGACAAAGCGGGCCAGCCCGGTTAACCGGGCTCATATATGAACAGGCCCCATAGTCAGTTTGGTCAATTCGAGGGCGTTGGTTTCGAAAATCGATGTCATACGGAGGGCGGGGGCCTTCAGACTCGTTTTCGCCTTACATGCAATCCTCGTGCTCAGTCAGTTTTAATGCTGGAACATCTAAATTTCAAATACGTTTGTTGCAAAATTAAATACTACCATTGAAAAGGTCTTGCAAATCTAGTCAAATATATACAAGGTTTGCCATGATCGGACTTACCGTTCCGGAGATATCAAGTCCCAAAGTTGGTTAAATTTGCCCGAGTCAGCACTTTTTTGCAAGCTTTGACAATTAATATATTTGTAAAGTTAAATCCGATCATGGCAAGCCTTATATATTTTTGACCAGATTTTCAAGACCTTTTCAATGGTAGTAATTAGTATTTAATTTTGCAAGAAGCGTATTTGGAATTTTGATACTCCAGCACTCTGTATAAAACTGACTGAGAACGAGGATTGTGAGGCGAAAACGAGGCTTAAGAGTTAAGGCCCCCGAAACGCTCCGTGTAACATCGATTTTCGAAATCAGCGCTCTCGAATTGACCAAATCGACTTAGTCTCATAAATTTCGCTTTTTGGTGACGATTCCCCTATTCTCCGCCCGGTCCGCTCAGTTACGAATGACGAAAGTTTTTCTAAAACATCTCGATGCATGGGTTAAAAGATTTGAAATACAACCCACGAGTTATACAGCATATTTCTTATTCAGGGAAGGATGTTAATAATTTTCCTTTCATTGTAAATTGTTACTCCACGTACATAGAAAATATTAAGGATTTGCGGCTAAAAGCAATGAAGCATTCTATTTTAAACCGAATAATGATGAGGCTGTTGTCAGGTATTACAATATTTAAAGTTTGTTCGTTCACTGCAACCAGGTATATCAATCATGTTACGTTTCGCTCGCTACTCTGGTTTAAATAAATGATTACAAAGCCCAGTTGAATTGTAATCAAGACCCAACCTTTCGACACTCCAGTCTAGTGTCTTCATCAGGGGTGATCTAAAGATTCAATCGTGGCTTCTTAAATACCCAAGGGATGACGTCACCTGCCAATGAGATGCATGTATTCCTCTGGCAAATAGGCACCGTCATCCCTATTCAAAGCATGATTGGCAGGTGACGTCATCCCTTGGGTATTTAAGAAGCCACGATTGCATCTTTAGATCACCCCTGATGAAGACACTAGACTGGAGTGTCGAAACGTTGGGTCTTGATTACAATTCGACTGGGCTTTGTAATCATTTATTTAATTAAACCAGAGTAGCGAGCGAAATATTACAATATTGTTTTGGGCATTCATACTCTTAACATTAAACCAGGATCAAAGTTGTCGGTCAGTGAAAATCGCGCCCTGTTGTCGAAACGCGTCTGGTGTGTCTCGGCCTTAAACGATATCTCGTCCTAGCAAAACAGGATGTCAGGATCATATAACAGCCCCTTATTCAGCAAATTGTGCATGCTGTCTTTGGTCCCTTGGCGGCGAGGGAGCACTTTCCTTGCGATAGTAACTTCTAGTTAAGTATTCCATTACTCTAGCTAATTACTTACTTCTGCACATACTACTAATTAACCTATTCGGCCACAATACACTCGAATTTGTTATATCTAGTTAAATGTTAAACATTACCAAGCCAAAAGCGCTATGAACATTGATGGGTTAATGTTGAATTAGTGTGCTGCATACTGTATCATGTTTTTTCACTGTTTTCTAATACACATAGGTTTGCTGTGTTATATAGCATCTTTTGTAGATGTGCATGTTATGTCTATATTTTAGTCGATACGTGGATACGTGGATACGCAGTCAATTAGTATTTTGAGAACGAGGCATATACAGTTAGTTTAGCATTAATAGATCAAACTGTAATGCTATAGGTAGCTAGCATTAATAGATCAAATTGTCATGCTATAGGTCCCTGGTCCTCACACTAAAGCCCTGGGAACAAGGTTGGCTATAGGTAGCTCCATATTTTAGTGGATACGCGGATACTCAGTCAACTAATTTTTTTTTAGAACGAGGCATACAGTTAGATTAGCATCATTAATAGATAAATAGATAGCTCTGCTATATAGATAGCTCTATATTTTAGTGGATACGTAGATACGCAGTCAAGTAGTTATTTTGAGAACGAGGCAT